ACCCATCAATATGAATGTCTTGTATTTATATGTATCTTATTTAACTTCCTTAGTTAATAATTTATAATTTTCAGTTTACAAGTCTTCCGTCTCTTTGGATGAGTTTATTACTACATATTTTACCTCTTTGTTGCTGTTTTAGATGGGATAATTTTACTAATTTCTTTTAAAGATACCTCATTATTTGTACACAGAAAGGTCACTGATCTTTGTATATTGATTTTTGTATTCTTTTCCTTTACTAAATTTATTTGTTCTAACATGTTTGTTTTTGTTGAGTCTTTGTTTTATACTTGCATGATCATGTTATCTGCAAAGACAATTTTACTTTTTCTGTCTGATTTGGATTTTTTCCTGATTGCTATAGTTAAGACTTCCAGTATTAATTGGATAAAAGTGGGGAGAGGAATTCTGGCCTTGTATCTGATCTTAGAAGGAAACTTTTCATTTTTCCCTATTGAGAATGATGTTAACTGATGGTTTTTCACATATGGTTTATATTGTGTTGAGAAAACTCCTTCTATACTTATTTTGCTGAGAGTTTTCATCATTAATTGTTCAGTTTTGTCAAATATTCCTCTGCATCTCTTTAAATGATCATGTGTTTTTTATCATTCATTCTGTTAATAGGGTGTATCATTGATTGATTTGCATATGTTGAAGAATCTGCATCACAGATAAATCCTGCTTGGTCCTGGTATAGGATCCTTTTAATGTGCTACAGAATTCAATTATTAGTATGCAACTGAAGATTTTTGCATCTATGTGGATTAGGGATATTGATCTATAGTTTTTTGTGCTGTCATATATAGCTTTGATATCAGAGTGATGCTGGTCTATAGAATGTGTTTGGAAGTATTCCCTCATTTTGCATTTTTTAGAAGACTTTGAGAAGGATTGGTACTAATTTTAAATGTTTGGTAACCTGCTTTAAAGTACTAATTTAGAGTAGTTGGTAAGTAGTAATGATATATAATATTTACTGATTGATGTTCACATGTCAGTTATAATGTATAATGCCTTTATACATTGTTATTTCTTTCAAAACTACCTTGGATTTTGCATTAAATTAGAGGCTTATTCTTATCTGGGTTCTACCACACAAGACTTAAATGTTTTCTCATCTCAGTCAGAAATTTTATGATACCAAAAATATCTGTGAACAGATCATATGTGACTTCTTGAACTTAGATTCATGCTGGCATATCATAGTACTCTCTAAATGTGAGCAATTTTTATACTAATAGTAGATCTGAAGTTACTTTCATTCCTATATCTGAAAGGAAATTTTTAAGCAAGTTTGAGCAAGTAGGCTAGTATTGTTCCCTCAAATTTTAGTCCATTTACTCAGGAAACTTATGTAGTTATCCTGTTCATTTAAAAATATTTAGGATGGGAAACAAAGGTAAAGTTGAATAGTTAAATTTATACAAAGCCGGGCAGTGGTTTAATCCCACTGGTCTTTGGTGAGCAGAAGTGAATATCCTGGTATCTTAATAGACTCTAATAGTAGTGACACCTTGTTTCCAACAACATTAAACAGAGACAGGAGGAGAGAGGAGAGACATTGAAAGTAGAAATGAGTAGATATGCTACTCATCCATCTCTAAAACACATTTACTCTGACCTACACAAATGCTCTTTGCACTGAATATTCTTATCTGCTTAAAAAGGATCATTAAAAAGGAAAAAATTAATTGAAAACATGTGGTTTACGCTTTCATTGAGGACAGGAGAAATGTTCTCAAAATTCTTTGATAATCCACATACAATGACCATCCCACTTAAAAAAACTGAGGTAATAAATAATTTGCTTAAGATCTCAAATCTGTAATTATGGAGTCCATGATGTTAGTTGTTGTATGTTCTTCCTAGTCACACTGATGCCACTAATTTATGTGGAATCCTTTATGTTTCCCAAGTTCTACATCGGTATTTATTGTTCTTGGTTGGGCCTTTCCTCTTCACAATGAGATCTGACCAGGAAGTAGGGATGAGGTCAAGCTATGAAGAACCATCCAGTTGCTGCATGCTCCAATAATCTACTGGGCCTTTCACAGGAGAAAATAAGAAGTTACACCTGATCCTCCTTTGTTTTCCCATGTTCCAGGGTCCTAGTTATTAATGTAGATTACCTTGTCTAGAAACCCAGAGGTGAGTTTGTCAGCAAAATTTGAGAAAAATATAGAGGAGTCAGTACTCGCCACATGGAAATTTTTTTCTCATTGCTAGTCAGTAAAAAATTCTGATGTAAGAAATGGTCTTAGGGGAGGGGGTGGAGTGGGTGGTAAGGGAGGGGGTGGGGGCAGGGGGGAGAAATGAACCAAGCCTTGTATGCACATATGACTAATAAAAGAAAAATGAAAAAAAAAAAAAAAAGAAATGGTCTTAGTATAAAAATCAAATTAATGGTGTGGCTATGATGTCCTTTGATACGATTTCTCAAACATTTAAGGTATAACTAATGACCATCTCAATTAGACAAAATATTTCTAATTGTAAAAGTATAGTTTCAGAGAAAGCCTAACCCCAAAATAGCAGTGAATATGCATGTAGAGAGAAAATTATGTCTTTAAAATAATTGCATGGTGTTGTTTCAAACTAAGTATCTTAAATTTGATACATGGAAAAGCAAAAATGTGATTAAGAATGTTGTACCAGAAAAAAAATTAGTATGGATTAAAAGACCCAGATATTGTTCAAATTATTAAAAAAAAAAAAAAAACCTTTTTCTAACAGGAAGTAGTCTAAGGAAGCTATTCCCCATTAATACAACCATTCTTTTTCAAAATAAGAAACAGAAGAGGCTTTCAGCTAGGAACACAGAGTATAGAGCTACAGACCACTGAAAAGTTATAAGCTACTGACAGCAATGGATTCAGAAACTACTGAGGATCTTGCTTTCCAGAAATAGTACAATGCCTTAATCATGGAACATTCCCTGTCTCCAAAGTAGGGACAATTGGCAAGACTGTTCCCTGTGAGATTTCAGAACTGTTGCAGAGTAGCAACAATTGTATCTCTCCTGCTCTTCCACTTTGGGAGTAGAAGTGTCTATTGTAGTCATCCTACTCCTGTATTACCATTGTATGTTGATGTTGAGTGAACAACATTTTATTTTGTATCTCCAGATTCTGGATCAAGAGGAGTCACATATGAGCCATATCCAGACATAATACGAATTGCATAACCATAGACTCTAACTTTAATGCTATAATTAAATGAGAGTTTCGGCATCTGGCATAATGGTGAAATCATGTAGAATATGAATATCTGTGAGGCAATAAATGTGATAGAATACAAAATTGGCCACACATTTCCCCAATTTTTTGCATCCACATTTTTGCCATGTGACTGCAGATCCATGAAAGTGTAGAAGCTATTTCTCAAATCTGGGTTGATACTGTAATTTTTTTTGCCTAATGTAACATAAGCAAACATGAACCCAGCAGAGGCATAAGCAATGCTGTGTGCTATTAGCACAGAAGGAGGCCCAGGTGTCACTTAATAAACAGCCCTACCAATTGTCATACATGTGAGGCCAGTCTCATGATAGCAGGTATCTCTTTGGTACCTTTGGAAGGTAAGATTGAACATAATTTACTACCTAGCACCTTCAAACTTCCTCTTGGTGAGAAAGTTGCCCACAAAGATCAGTAGTTCTACTTTGTTTTTCTCAGGCCATGTTTCTTATAGAGGCAGGCAGGCATTCCATGCAGAATGACAGTCATGACACAGCATTGACCAGGACACAACAATATATCTGTGAATCCCAGCTTCATAAACATACAAATCATATTCCTCATCTACCTAATCTTTATGCACAATAAAGGGGATATTTTGGTCCTGGTATACTTTATTCCTTTTTGTCTCGTTGCTAACTTGGATCAGCCCTAATAAGGAGCAGTCTGGAGTTCTGATTCTAAAAGGATGAGAATATACACCAATTTCTTTTATCCATCTGAGAGATGATTAAGTTGCTCATTTTAATTTTTATCCTATCCAGCACATTACTCTTACTTAACAACACTACTGCTTTTCTCATTGGTTACAATTACACATATTGTGCAGTCATTTCTCCACTGCTGGAAGAGGGCAATGAAGTTTTCTGGAGTTATAGTCTTCAGCATATCACAAGAAAAATAGAAATGAGAAAGGTGGGTAAGGAAAGAAGATGTAATCCACTTTATAGATGAATGGACAAGAGCAAGCAGATATAACAGAAATAATTACTTTCTCTTGATCCATGATGCTCCTCAGCACCTACAACAAGGTCTTAACAGATAATGAATGATTCTACTGAATGACCAAAAGAAAAAGAGGGGTTGTTCTCAGTTTATACTAGACACTGGCCTTACCTCGGTTACAAGTCTACTGTATGTATCTTTAGAAGAGAAACCTAATTGCATTCGTTCCATCTTTGCAGCAAGTATTTTGCAAAAAAGACAAATATAATACTACATCAATAATATTCAGTGATGTAATAGTTATCATAGCCTGTGTTACAATTTCTTAGACTTCCTGGAAATTAGTTATATTGCATGAAAGTAAACAAGAATGCTAATTATCTTTTGGGACACACCTAATGGAAGTCTAAGCTAGAGTGTATTAATTTGCATCTAGGCGATTTTCAGGTGATTGCAGAGGCATCCAGTGCTTTGCGCCTCTGTCTGATGGCCTCTTGCTATGCTGGGCACTCCTGGCTGGCTGGCTGGCTCTGCTGATCCTGCAAGTCAAGGGATTATTAGATTGACCACGTGCCCTCTGCTTTTGTTTCTTTGTTTTTGTTTTGTTGGGGAGGGAGATAGGAAAGTTGACCAGGGCCCCAGAGATCTTTGAAAAAAAGACAGAAAAGAAGGAGGAGGGGAGAGAAATTTGCAGTGATAAGTGTTTTCTGCTATAAAAGTCATGAGAGACTATAAGAGTTTGATTCTGGCAAATGCTCACTGGCAATGTGGATCAAGAATTAACCGGGATGCCAGGATAGCATCTCCTGAAACATGTCTCTAAATTACATCAAAAACTTCTATGAAGGATGTGTAAGTACTATTCAAAAAAATTTCATGCATTTTTGCCTGTGTATCTTCACCTGGTTTGTATGAGTGCTAAATAAATTCCTTTAGAATTGTGGTGAGTAATATAAATAACAACTGAATTCTTCTAAATATTCTAAATGTAAAGCTATAAATAATTTAGGAAGTACTTTTGGATCTTGACGTTTTAAAGCAGTTCACTCAATTCAAAAATTAGAAAAGTCTGTGACAATTAAACATTATTTGGCTGTTAAGATAGTGGGTGTGCTAAGTTTAATATGGGATTTGTAATTTAATTTTTCAAAAGAGGTATTAGAATAATAAAAGATTCTCATGTCTTCATTTCAAGAATTACAGGGGAAGAAAAAACTAATTGAATTCAAAGCTGTTGAAATATTTCCAAAATAACGCATTTGATTGGCAATATGTCCTTATTTGACTGTTGCATTCATAGTTTAAGAGAGAAAATATATGAAAAATCTCATTATGCAGAATTTATATTTGATTTGATAATCTGGTAATCTCTAAGGCTCTATCTATGTTGCTCCAAAACTTTTTGAATCTTAAAATTTTTAAATGTGACCATGAAAACATCGTTTAAGTTCTTTTTAACATCCTGTAAGATATTTGGTTTTAACTGATTTTATTTTCCTCCTAAAACCACACCCTTTTCTTCGGATCTATCCGAATGTTCTTCCTTGGAGTGTTGGGCTTTGCGGTTTATGGGAATGAGGCTTTGCACTTCAGCTGTGATCCAGACAAAAGAGAGAGAAATCTCTTCTGTTACAATCAGTTCAGGCCAATCACTCCACAAGTAAGTGTGCACGTACATTTTGACTCTACAACAGAGACAATCTTTTCTTTTTAAATGTAAAATAATGTCATAAAGAGAAGTACTCCAACAGGCGTGATTATATTGATTTTTCTTTAATTTGCTGTATATTTTGGAAAAACTGAATTTGAGTTGGTCAAGAGTTTCTTCCAATTTTAGAATTCCATTATATATTGATATTATAATCATATTCCAGACTTGTATTTACAGTATAGAAATTAAGTAACTACTAAAATTAATTCATCATTCTCAGCAATTTATAGGCAATGCTAGTAAAATATGACTAAGTTTTCACAACTACCATATGTTTAAAAACTTTAAACATCTTGGTAATTGCATGAAGCATTTTAAACTTTACTATGTTCATTGTATTACTTTATTTTTTATAAGACCTTTATGAAACTTGGGATTTTTAAGGTAACTTTCATTGGGTCAGCCAATTTTTAGAATATTTTGTTTACATGTTCATTAAATGGTTTGACTAAGCTATTTCTGACACACCTTAGGTGTTCTGGGCATTACAACTAGTGATTGTCCTGGTTCCTGGAGCTATTTTCCATCTTTATGCTGCATGCAAAAGCATCAATCAAGAGTGTATTCTTCAAAAGCCCATCTACACTGTGATTTACATCTTTTCAGTTTTATTAAGAGTTAGTCTAGAAGTGATAGCATTTTGGCTTCAGATCCACCTTTTTGGTTACCAAGTAAAACCTCTTTACTTGTGTGATGCTGGATCTCTTGGGAAAAAAATGACTATGATAAAATGTATGGTTCCAGAACACTTTGAAAAGACCATTTTTCTCATTGCAATGTATACATTTACTGTAATTACAATGGTACTATGTGTTGCTGAGGTTTTTGAGATCATATTTAGAAGATTATGTTTTCTAGTTAAGCAATGACAAGAGTTGATTACTTACTGTTGTGCCATAGTTGTTACCAACCATTTTTGTTTGGTTTTTATCTTTTTCAGTGAGTACCTCAATTTCAGATATAAATGTTTGTTCTTTAAATGCACTTTGGTGTCCCTGAAATTTATGTCTACCATAAAATATAATGCTGAATTCTAAGTCAGATATCATTGAACAAACATTTCTATTTTATCACATATGTTCTAATGTATACATAGATCTAATGTTACTCATTTTAAATACTACTCTTACAAACGTCTCTCATATACAACATCTTCATTGAAACTTCTATTATCTCTTTTACAGAGTAGAAAATTAATGTTCAGCAATGGTAATTTATGCGCTCAAAGTCATACAACCAAACTAGAATCCAAATCTTCTCATCTCCCTTCCCACTGAACCATTCAGTTTTAACCTTGGGATGAAATTATTTTTGCAATTATGTAAAATGTAATATTTAAGCCCAAATTAAAAAGTATTTCTATAGTTTGATCATTAACTTAAAGAAATTGAGCAGTTATATTTTAATATTATATGTATGTTGTTTTCTTGAAATTTTTAATATAAAATGGCATGCAAATATAGCCAACAAATAAATTTAAAATGATACAGATAATATTGTGCATGGTTTTCTTATTTCTTGTTATGCTCACAGATATCCAATAGCAGTAACTTCTATATTCAAGGTCATTGAAATGGAAAATTATGTTTATATTAAGTTAGTCTTCCTCAATTGTTATGAAATTATTTCACAATTTTGTATCAGTCCAGCACATTTTTTTCTATGAACCTGCCTTACCAACAGTGTTCTTCATTTTGTATCATTTAAGTCTTTATATAGTACTGCCTGGTATTGGTATCTTATTAATGAAAAAGACATACATAGTCAGTTGAGTACTGAGGTTTTCAATTTTTAATTAAGTATTAGTCTATGCTTGATATCACAAATTTCTGGATTTAAAAATTTTAAATCATTGAGTTTTCTTCATATGAAAGCACAGGAGAAAGTCAAACTTTCCTCCATTCAACAAATAATTACTGGGTACCTATTATTTAACACATCCTTCATTAAGAGGTTATATTAGGGTTAGCCAGCTACAAGGTTCTCCTGAACCTCCTAAACATCAAGCACCTGTGTCTGGCAGAGCCTGTGTGAGAAGAAGAAACAATCCTTTTCCCATACCCGAATAATCTACAGCATTGGCCGGACACTTGAGCACACCGAGATAGAAAGGAGCCAGGCAAAAAGCACAGACTATGGCACTGAAATGGATTAATAAGGAATTTAGTGATTTGGCCTGTGACCCTCCAGCACAATGTACTGCAGGTCCAGTTGTGGATGATATGTTTCACTGTCAAGCCACAATTATGAGACCTAATGACAGCCCATACCAAGGTGGTGTATTCTTTTTGACAATTCATTTTCCTACAGACTAACCCATCAAACCACCTAAGGTTGCATTTACAACAAGAATTTATCATCCAAATATTAACAGTAATGGCAGCATTTGTCTCGATATTTTAAAATCACAATGGTCTGCTTCAACTATTTCTAAAGTTCTTTTATCCATTTGTTCACTGCTATGTGATCCAAACCCAGATGACCCCCTAGTGCAGGATCTATAAAACAAAGTACAACAGACTATCTCAGGAATGGACTCAGAAGTATGCCATGTGATACTCCCTTAAAGTCAGAATAACTTGCATTATAGTTGGAATAAACTTTAAATTACTGTTAAAAAGAGTCCATATTAGAAGGTAATTAAAGATAAAAATAATTAAAATTTCATATCTACAAAACAACAGATTCTAGAGAGTGGTCCAGTGACATACCAGGAGAGTGGGACTGGTGTGATAGATGACCCTGAAGGAAAGGAATATTTGTTCATTGCCTTTGTTTAGAATAGCTGACTCTTCCTACTAATAAACAGTAACAATGTTTCATCTTTGTATTATTGTACTTAAAATACTCTGTAGATTATATGCCCCTTCACTTCTTTTGGAAGTGAAGAGTTCTTGTAGAAGTGGTAGATGGCCTCACCAGCCCTCCCACAACCACATACATCATCATCTTGATTTGTATTTTCTTTCCTACATCTTTGCAAAGCTGGTAATATTTAATTGGATGTCAGACATTGCTTCTTTTACCTTGTTGGATGATGGATGTTTTTCTACTCTTAAATATTCTTAAATTTTATTTTGAAACACAATTATTTGGAAACATAGTCTTTTTCTGCTTCCTTTTAAGCTCATTAGATGGGATCCATACAGTCCTTAGCGAAGGGTCAACTTTGCTCATGGCAAAGGCAGACCTTCTGGGTGCTTTGTCAGGTGCCCGTTTGGTGGTTAGAAAATGTTACCCTCTCACTTGCTACCCTTAAAATCCTGAGTTCCATCCTCAACCTGCTTGCCTCATGGTTGCTGCATAAATTTCTGTGTCTTTAGTTATCAGGCCCTCATTGTATCCAAGGAAAGAAGGGATATAGGACAGAAGGGCACTTTCCTCCACTCTCAGGGAAGATCATTTTTTCAAACAACTCACAGCAGATTTTCCTTTATCATTGACTACTCATAGATGAACACTGATTTGTTCTCATTTTAATTCATTCTTTAGAGTTAGGCACCGTCAAAGTATGTCCTGTTAAGAGATTTTTCCAATCTGGCTGTTGGGAACAACAGTCTCAGTCCTATGTAAATCTTGGATATTGTCCCTTTTCTGTTCCCTTAATCTGTTCAAGCCCTTTAATCTGTTCAAGTAGTTTTTATCCTTGACATATATTTAAAGACTTGACACTAATGCAGACTCCACTGAATTTGCTTTGAACACCTCTGGAGCGTTTTTGCTTTGCTGCTATCCCCTCAATACCACTGTGCCCCTGAACCATAGCCTTCTTGGCCTCCCTGGAGTCAATCTCCTCAACTGACGAGGAAGAAGGGTGGTATTTCTAACCCATCAAAGGAAACTCTGCTTATGGCTACTTCTTCTAGAAAATAGTACTGCTACAGTTTGAACCTGTCTCCCAAAGTTCACGTTTGGAAACTTACTCCCAAACACAACAATGTTGAAAGGTGATATTTTTAAAAGGTGATTGGGTCATGACAGTTCTGCACACACTTGAAGAAATGTGTTATCAGAAAAATGGGTTTGTTATAAAAGCAAATTTTGCTCTTTCTCCTCTCTCTCTCTCTCACCACGTGATGTTTTCTGCCATGTTATGACACCACATAAGGGTCCTATACTTCTCAGCCTCCAGAACTCCAAAAAATAAATTTCTTCTCTTTAAAAATTATTCAGTCCGTGGACTAGAACCAGTATATATAATAATATGACATTAATAATAAACATTAATTTTATTTTTGTTATTAATTTTAATTAATTAATATTAAACATATTATGTTTAATGAAAGAGATAAAGTGAGGTAGGTTTGGACAATGCTTTTAATTCCTTACTGATTTATTATTCTATAATTTCATTTTATTAGTAAATATATTAGGATTGTTAGCACATAGCTATACTATTTTGGATAATAAGTGTTATATGTACAATTCATATTCAAATATAAAAACTTACTTTTCTGAAAAAATGCAAGTATAGTAAGCATTAATAAGACCAACTTTGTTAAAACTAAACAAATATCTGACTATTTGAAAAAATATTTTAAACAATTTTTAAAAATCTCTTGGGTCAAATGAATAATTTAAACTGAAAATTTTGAGATTATTTATAAGTGAACAATAATCAAATGTTGCATATTAAACCCCAGGCACTCCACAACTGATGAATGGATTAAGAAAATGTCGTATGTATACACAATAGAGTTTTAGTCAGTCATAAAAAGAATGAAAGTATGTTGTTTGCAGGTAAATGGATGGAACTGGAGAATTTCATATTAAGCAAAGTAAGCCAAGCTCAAAAACTCAAAGTAGCATATTTTCTCTCATATGTGGAAGCTAGACCTATAAGTTAAATGTATACATGGATACATAAATGATCATACATATATGTATATACATACATATATATATAGTGACAGAGAGAACCAAACTGTACTAGTGAGTCCGTCTGAGGGGCTGTGGGAGGTAGGAGAGAGAAAGAACATGTTAGAGAATGAAAAGTATTGAAACACCTCATCCATACATGAATATAATATCATGCACTGTGCAGTAAGCTGTTGAATGTTAGGGGAGCATGGTGAGAGAGAATGAGAAAGTGATGGAGGGGAGGGGTTACTTTGATCAAAGCATGATATATAGAGGCCTGAAGTATCATGGTGAAACTCCCTTAGACTATCAATATATACTTAGTTTTTAAAAAAATGAAGGGCAGGAGGGAAAAATAAATCTTTTCCAGGGGTGGGTACCAGTAGGAGGGGGATGGGCACAAGAAAGGGGGAATGAGGGCATATATGGTAGATGTATTTTGTATTCATACATGAAAATAGAAAAATGAAACTTGTTGAAATTGTTCTAAGAAGGGGGGAGAGTGGAAGTAGGACAATGATGATGGAGATAAATCTAACTAAGATATATTGTATGCTCACATGTAAATATCAAAATGTATCCCCCATACAACTATTATATGCTAATAAAATCATAAAAAGAACTCCAGGAACCACAAATTTATAACGCACAGAAAATACAGCTATATGAACAAGGAACCAATGAGAGTAATTAAAAAACAAACAAAAGAACTTCAAAATAAAAACAACTTTCAACATAAAATTAGGGGCAAAAATAATTTAATAAGAATATAGGCAGACAGTTATGAATTAGAATAGGAACAATTAGAACAGATGATTAAATACACAGTTAAATAATTTTTCTGGAAAATTACAAAATAGATATTCTCTGGCAAATTGAAAAAAGTATGGAAACTTACTATTGTAAGATTCATAATAACCTATGTAAAACTACATATTATCATTGATGTACACTGTGATACTTTAAAGATGTACTAAAGATATACTATAAAATTTTTTGCTTATTAACCAATGAAAACATTTAAATGGAAACATAAAACCATCAGTTAATCCCAAAGATTGCATAAAAAGAGAAAGCGAACAAAAACAGATGAGACAAATCGAAACAACAAGGTAGTAGACAAACGCAAACCTATCAATAGCTACAGTAAGCCTAAAAGGTATTGGCACTCCAGGGCTGGAGGCATGGCTTAAGCGTGGAGTGCCTGCATAGCAAGTGAAAGGCCCTGAGCTCAAAAAGAGAAAAAAATTTTCAAAGGACCACTCCAAATAAAAATAGAAATTGTCTGAAGGTATTTTTTTAAAGCCAGATCAGGGCTGGGGATACATCTCAGTGGTAGAGTTCTTACCTAGCATTCCTGAAGATCTGGGTTTGATATCTAGCACCAAAAAAAAGAAGAAGAAAAGCCAGACCACATTATTAAGAGTAACCTCACTTTAAAGATTTTATATTAAAAACATTTCAGTACTTCATTCTTTTCAAGTATTACATTGAATGCTCACTGAGAGAGCATTGCTAGGCCATAAGAAACTCTCCAATATGAAATTTTGCAGCCTATTCTAGTTGCCATTTCATTTAATGAGACCCTCATAATCTTGATATCAAAATTCTTAGCAAAAATACATTAGCACATGTGATCCAGTTATACATGCATGAATAACACATTATGTTCAAGTGGGGTTTATCTCAAGTTGTTTTAACCTTGAAAGTCAATTGAACTATGTTATAAGAATAAAAGAAGAAAATCATATAGTCATCTTAATAGATTCAGATAAGAAAAGGTGGTTACATTTAACATCCACTGATGAAGAAACAAACAAATCCTAAATGCTTCATTCTAAAAGGGAATTACCTCAACTTGATAAAAAGCATCCAAGGAATGAAAAATTTTCCCTGCAATCTGGAAAAAGGGAAGGAGATTAACCTTTACCACTTCAGTGTAATGTTGAACTGAAGTTCAATAAGAAAAAAAACCCCAAAAGTAAATGTATAATTTGAATATACATTTATTCAATAAATGCAATAAGACAAAAATAAAAGGTAGACTGGAAAAGAAGAAATATTATCTCTACTCATAAACATAATCACACAGAAAATTCTGAAGGGTGTGCCAAAATCTACACATAATGAAATGTATCAAGGTTAACATTTCTTTATACTTATAAAAATTGTATTACCAACTATCACTTAGAATGAAAACATTAAATTACAATTAAAATATGTGTTAGACATATTTTAGCACTAAGAAAGAGGTAAAAGAAATTAAAAGTGAAAGAATAAGTCATATCATGTTCATGGCCTTAACTATTTATAACTTCGGTAACTCCAACTGATCTGTAAATTCAACACAATTCCAGTCAAAATACTAGCAATTTTTTGTAGAAATTTACAGCTGTTCCTAAAATTTATATGGGAATATGAAAGACCAAGAATAGCTAACACGATTTTGATAAAGCAAAACGAAAGAGAGGACTTGTGCTACATATTCTCAAGACTCCTTTAAAAGCACAATCATCAAGACAGTGTGGACAGTAAAAGGACAGGCACGCTGGAGAGGAACAACAGAAAAAACAGAAACAGTTCTGCATATAAATAGTTTATTCTTTTTAATGTGCTCGTGCAATTCAGTGTGTTATAACAGCTAATGTCCATGTTGAAAATACAAACTTCTACTTTTATAGTTTCAACGTGTCACAGGTATTGGGAAAATAAATGGACCTGCCCATGTCTTCAAGGTCTTGCTATGTCATTCTTCTGATGGAATTTTAGGAAGAATACTTTCTATTGGTCTATTTGGATCGATGCTAATAATAGGATGTAAGTATCAGAATACTAGAAGACAAATTTCTGCCACATGCAGTATATATAATATAGCTACAGTTATTTGTTACCCTGATTATTGACCCCTGTCATTTACCATCAAATTAGTTCTGGTACCTGGAGTCAAGGGGATAGTGCAAAACTTTTAACTTTTCCAATGAAAACACCAGTCATTTCTAATTTCTCTTTCATTCTTCTTCCTGTGCTTACTCTCAACCCCTATCTTGCTCTGCTTCTCTGCCTACTGCTAACTTGCCAAGATTCTAGCCTCAGATCATGGTGATGTCAGGTTCTTCAGATACCGATCAGAGCTATATGGAGGACAGTTTGGTCCTTTTTCATAAGAAAACAACAGAATAAGGGGTTCTTCACAGTAAAACAAGAAACTGACTTCCCTGTTGTTAATACTTTGTTTCACAGCATAATTTCAATGCTGCTATGCCAACAGTGTCAACTCTTCATCATATCAACTATTCTTTCATAAAGGAGGTATGGTTTTTACAAAAATGATAGCATGCATTGGTAAAAGGAGTAAAATCCAATTCTAACCAGGTTACTTACTTGTTTACCCCCACCCAATCCCCAGCCCTAAGTATATGCAAATGAAAAGAGACTGGTAACTTCTAGTCCTGAAGGCAGATATCAGGGAATAACAGGAAGATGCAAACTTCACCAGAAAGAGGAGCATTTACATTTCCAGGTACAGTGTGATAGAAGAGAGAAAAGATAACAACACAGGGATATATTGGCCTACAGAAGCATCAGAGTCAAATAGTAACAGTTGGGTGCACAGGCTCTGAAATCAAAACACCCAGATTTTAATGTCATTCTTAAAATGCTCATCCTTGTAAATTAACCTAAATTCTAAGCATCCCCTTTTACTCACCTATAAAATGATGTCTTCCTCATAAATGAGTTAATGTAAACATCCTAACAACACTCAAAACACATAGTAGATGCTCAGAAAATGCAAGCTGCTTGTTATTTCTTTGAGCTGGGACAGAAACAAGGCAACACAATTCATTCTTGGTGACCTTAATCCAATAGCAGGAGCAGTAGTTGACTAAGGCAATTGGGGCAGAAGGCCTCACTTGAAGAGGATGGGAAAAGCTTGACACATCATCTATGGACATTCATTAGGGTACTGGTCCTCAACCCTAAATATGCCATTAATATTTCATGAAGGCCTTTAAAAAGACAGTGATATTTAGGATCCAATCCAGAGCAATTGAGAATGACTGGAGGTTCAACCTGGATATGAACCTCTTTCAAAGCTGCTGAGTTGGTCTTTAAGGACAGTCATTTTAGAATGGAGAAATAATAGGAAAATAATAAATGAGAGTTGTGAGGATGGAAAGAAAACATGTATAATATCTCAATCTTTTCTTCATTAATTTCTCTACCAATCCAGCAAACTCTGAATAAAAAGTCAAGATAGTGGGAGTAAGAGAAAGAAAGCAATTATTCCCAAGTGGTATTGGATGTGTGGCTGAGATTAGAGAAGAGTGAAGAACTTCATTTTATGTTGAATAAAAAGTAGACCCAGAGTAAGAAGAGGAACTTTATAAACAGGTATAGACAAAGGACGTAGAGTGAATAATACTTGAGTTCTTTAAGGGTGGGGAGTGGGAGTAGAAAATAGTAGGCAAAAGAAATTTTCAGAGCTTGAGATTTTGGTTCTTGGAGATAGTGGAATTTCAATGAAAACTAACTTTAAGACACATCCTCAAAGCTGGGAATTGAGATAAAATAAAGATGTATGTTATTGGAGGGGGCAAACAAAACGTAAAACCTTAGGTTGATATTATGTAATAGAGAAAAAGACTTGAAATAATTGCTGGTAGGAAGAAAAGCTGATGCCCACCGTGTAGAGGCAGAGTCGGCGCCATTAACACAGGTAAGGAACGTGAAAGCACTTTTCAAATTGTCACTCCTTCTCGAGGAATAAGCAACCTACAGATTATTCATTCACTAAAATATACACTAGCCAGTTAAGACAGAAGTTCAATTTTTTTTCAACTTCATGTGTTAGTGTTTATGTTGGAACAATCCTGGTTATTTTATCCGATGTGTCAACATACAAATTTTAATTTAAATGTTAAACACTATTTCTCTTATGCAAGGATTGAAAAGTTTCTAAAATCGAAAAGGTTACTATGGACACTATTAGTATTATTTGAGGAAGTGGGGGTGATAAATCCTGAATGCTGCCAAAGACAATTCACGGCTTTCCTCTTTGTCCCAGTCAACAAACATCTTATCACAAGCCAACTAAAAAAACAACAAAAAGCAAAGCAAAACGCTATTCTTCCTCCCACCAGCAGAGGGCGAGGGTTCTATTCGCCACATAACGGCCAAGATGCTCAGTCTTCGGATTGTATTCTAGGAGGCAGGCACACCGATATTGTCCCTACCCAGTATCCGTAGTTGACTTAATGTCGCTAAGCAACGGACGAGGGGGGCGGGATTTACCCAAGCACTCGCGCGCGGCCGGTGACCGGAAGCGGAAGTGTCGGCGTCGCGCAAGTAAAGAGTGTTGTTTCCTGAGGTGGAGATGGCTGCGTTAGCTCCGCTGCCCCCACTCCCCCCACAGTTTAAGAGCATACAGCATCATCTGAGGACCGCTCAAGAGCACGACAAGCGGGACCCTGTGGTGGCCTATTACTGTGAGTCTTTGCGAGGCGCTGCACCCCTCCTTACCCGGTGGCACCCGGGGCCCAAACCGCCTTAGGTTCTTGGGGCATGCCCCGCCCCCCTGGCTTTGAACCTAAGCTTTGACCTCTAGCCGGGGTCCCAGCCCTCCTGGGAGCCTGACTTCGCCGCAAAAACCCCTTAAACCACCGTATCGAGCACCTCTCCTGTCTTGTAGCTAAGTGTCCGAGAACTGACTTCACGAGCTCCTGACTTGTGAGCACACTCCCCAAGGTTTTCTTCCTGCTTGCATACATACAGGTTTCCTGTCTCCTGGAAATAACCTCAATAGTGAGTCACTGAGATGGGGTTACAGCGAAAGCGAGTGCCTCAAAGATAGTAGTGTTGTGGATAAAGAGATAGGGACTCGTTAAAACGCAGTAATACATACAAGTTAATGATGACAGCATGCAGGCCCATTCCAAAACTCACAAATAGTTAGAGGAGAGGATCCTCTACTGAACTGTTGAATTTGATTATTCTCTCTTTGCACCCAAACTGCTCTTTCCTATGAATGAGAATTTTGAGTCTTCTTTTAATAATACCGTGGGACGGAATATTTGGTAACAGCATTCCCACTGATTGTTACACATGTAGTCTAGAACTGATAGGAAAACAGATGAAGTTTGTTTAGATATTTTTTCCCTTTACAATAGGTAAAGGGAGCAGTGCTAGTAGTTTTGTATAAACTTTATTTTGTATATTATACTCATCTTTTTGCATATAATACAAGAGACTGAACTACCATAATCAGAAAAGGATTTTTAGAATGGAGAAGCTCATTAAAATATGTATGTCACAGTTGTGGACATTGTTAGGGTAGCTCGAATCTCCTCCATTACCATCCCTCCTGTATTCCATATGTACCCTATTTCTCAAATATGTAAGTTTATTTTTTCCCCACTTGCTAAAGTCCTCATGAGTGAAGATCCAACGTACTTGTTACCTCTTTTGTAGGCAGAAAATTGTGCTCTCTTCTTTACCTTCTTTTAAAATCTTAGCAGCAATATTTCCTCTGTACTTGTTCCTCAAGTTGCTCAAGAAGGTACCATTAATCATTCATTCATCATGTATTTATTGAGCTTTTACCTTATACCAAGCATTACTGCCCACTGTAGTGGTTGTTCCTGTATTCATGGAGCTTACACACAATGCGAGTAAGGAGATTAAACAATAAAAATAATTTTATAGAATATTAGAATGTAATTAAGACAAGAAAGGGAATAGGGAGTATGGGAGGTGGTAGATTGCACATTCAGAGTGGTAGGAGGCACTTTACTGAGTTGACATTTAAGCAAAGAATGGAGTGAAAGGCAGGCCTTCATGCACATTAGGGCAAGAATATTCTTTATAGAGAGAATAAAAGTCCTGAAGTAGAGACCTGCTTGCAAGAGGAGAGAGGGACACCATTGTCACGGGAATGGATAGAGCCAGGGGAAAGTGATATGATAAGAAACAAGAAGTAATCTCATAACAACAGTGAAACAGGACCCCTTCTTTCTCTCTAAAACTAATCCTTACTCATGAGCTTTGTATTTTGTATTCTCCTTTGTTACTATCCCAGGACCTTCACTTCCTGGGATAGGTGAGGTGTCATCATCCTCACATTTCCTATTTGTTTCTAAGCTTGTCCCGGTTTCTTTTATTTTAAAAAAACAAACAAAATAAAAACCTCTCACCATGATATTCCCCTAAAATTACAGCCCTATTTGTCCAACTTCATAGGTAACGTTGAAATTGTCTTCTACAGTTGATTTGTTTTTACATTTTTTGCAGAACCTTTTCAGACAGTTACAGTCTGGCTTTCATGCCCACTGTTTCATTGAAATTGTTCTCCTTCAGGGTCATGAACAAACATTTTTACTTCAAAGTCTACTTAGCACTTAATAACTTTTTTTTAACAAAACTTAAGTGTATAAGAGACCATGCATTCTGTCCACACAGAGTTTAAGGAATAGTAAAGTGAACACTGACGTGCTAATCACATTTGATGTTACTAGATTTTTAAAAATTTGTTGCCAATCTGGTGGATGTGAATGTTGTCTCAGTGGAGTGATGTTTGCAGTTCTCCAAGTCTTAATGAGTTTCAACGTCTTTTCCTATTTTAATTAACCATGTGCGATTTCTTTTTGAAATGCCTATTTATTGCTTTGCCCATTTTTCTATTGCACTGTCTTTTCTTAATAATACATATGACTTCTTTGTTCTGTGTATTACAGATGTCTTCTCTCAGTTTGAGTTTTACTCGGTGAAGTCCTTGTTCAAAAATTCTTAATTACAAACTATAATCAATTTATCAATCTCTTAAACATTTACATTGTGATTTTCTAGGCCTTGATTTCTTTTTATGTACTTATCTGGGACTTTGGTTTCCTGTCTCTGTAGGTGGATATCTTTTATTCTGGAAAATAATTATGTGTTCATTATTGCTTCCCCTTATTACCTTTTTTCTCTCCTGAAATTTTGATTAGATACGTGTTGGAATTTTCCCCTTTAACTTTCTTTTCTCCTAATTCTTGGATGTTTTTAATCTCTTTGTCTCTGTATTGCATTCTGTGTGATTTCTTGAGACCCATCTTCACCTTCGTATGTTGAGTTTTTGCTTTTGTTTTTATTTCTGAGTGCTCTGTTTCTGTTTTTAAATAAGCCTGGCTATTTCTGTTAATTTCTTGTTACTGCTCAAATTTTTTAAACACTTGATTTCTTTGAAAACTTTGAACATTTTTGTTTGTATTTGCTATCTCATGATTTCTATGGCTACTGTGTTTGTGAATCTGATTCTGCAGTTCAAAAGAACACTGTTCCTGGTGATTTCACTCCTTATAAATTATATACTAGGCATACTAAACTAGTGGTCTTTAAAACTAGAGATTCTGAAGGGCTCTTCAAAATCTAAAGGGATCAGTTTCTCAATTCACAACTTCCATGTTTTCCTTCTAAAATCGCCCTTCCTGACAAAGGGCCTGTTATCAGAGTATCACACTAATATGTTGGTTGTGTTTGCCCACTTTCTGTTCAAAGAAAGGCATACTGTCATGCTTCTTGCGTATTTTTATTCCCCCGGGGGAGAAGGAATCCTCCAGGGTGTTCAGATAAAAGGAGTCCAAATTACTGGTGTTGGTCATGTCTCCATTAAGGTATTAGATAGAGCTTTCTGTCTTTCTCTGTGTCATATGGAAGAAAATCAACCAGAGCCAAAGAAAAAGCTGGACATAAGTTCTAAAAGAGCATTCCAGTTTGGGGAAAAAATATGGAATGTTGTTTAAAGAGGATGCCAGTAGCTGGATGCTGGTGGCTCACGCCTGTAATCCTAGCTACTCAGGAGACAGAGATCAAGAGGATCTCAGTTCGAAGCTAGCCCTAGCAAATAGTTCACAAGACCCTATCTTGAAAAAACCCTTCACAAGAAAGGGCTGGTGGAGTGGCTTAAGGTGTAGGCCCTGAGTTAAACACAAGTACCACCAAAAAAAAAAAAAAAAAAGCGGAAAAAAATAAAGAGGATATAGGGAGTCCTCTGGAATTTGTCTTTTTTTTTTAGGAGCACTTGCCTAGTATGTACAAAACCTTGGAGTTTGATGCCCCAGCACCATACATGCACATAATAAGAAGAAGGCTGGAGCTCAGAAGATGGAGAAATTGTCCTGCATACCCACATTTTGGATTTTATCAAGGGAGTGAGGAGGAACAGGTTGGGACCCAGGTCATACTGGAGAGCATGTGAGGAGGGAGAGCATTGGGAACAAGGACTTGAAAGGGCCACAATGGGAAACTCTGATTTTTAGTCTTTTACATTTACATGTGTCTGTTAAAAACTGTACTCTGTTGCAATGTATTCCTAAAGGGATAAAAAATTTCCTTTAGACAAAGAACTTACCTCCTCTGTTCTCTGATCGTTAGTAAAGAATATCATTCCTGAGATGAGAACAGAACAAAAGGAGCAAAGGGAATTACTAAAGGCGGAAGTTCCTTGTTTCATCCAAGCAATAATAAACTCACATGTCTTATTGTTATTTTAGAGTTAGAGTTCAGAAATGAAATAGTTGACATTCCAGTTGAAAAATTGTTACATTTTTCTGAAAAAGTGACTTGACAGTAACAGCTGACTTTGCCGTTTATCAAATAGGATTGGCATTTCTCCTTTAACTAAATGAGCTAAATCTTCAGCTGTGAGATGTTTTGCTTTGTGTTGTTATTCAGAAATAAATTTAAAGTAGGTGATAGGATAAAAACACGTAAAGGGTTTTTTTTCTATTTTATGTTTTGCTAAGTTACATTGAAATTAATAGTGTATTAATTTTCCCAGTTATTAATGTATCCTGTGATAAGCAGGAAGACTGAAAGAAAATAATAAATCTTTGTAATATCTTTTTTGTGTATTTTACAAGAATTGAGAAAATCATTAACTCAAATAGAATGATGGCCTAAGAAATCTTTTTCTAGTTTTAAACAAATTTTGAAGCCAAATTAATTATCAGCCAAGAGTTTTTAAAAATGTTACTTAATAATAGGTGATGATATGGTTTTTACTATTAACTCATAGATAATTTGATTTGCCTTATAAGGTACCACTCCAATAAGTTTGACTTTTACATTTAATCATTAAAATGTATAATATATATTTGTGGTATTTTGACCAATTGTGTATTACAATAATACAAAGACTCAGTTCCAGAGGAAGAGTTTTAACACTTAGTACAGTCACAGAAATTATTTGTTTAAAAGTTTAAATTACAATTTTTGTTGCAGAGAGACATAGTAAGATAATCAAGTAAGAACTTCAGACTGCAAATGATTCCTGGTTTTTTTTGGCAGTACTGAGATTGGAACTCAGAGTTTTAGACTTGGTAGGGAGGTGTTCTACCACGTGAACCATTTTGCCAGCCCTTTTTGTCTTGATTATTTTTCAGCTAGGGTCTCACTTGAAGGTAAGCCAGTCTGGACTGCTTCCCGCATAGTAGAATAATAGGCACGCACC